TGGGATGGGTCGAGAAGGAGGAAGTCTTAAGGCAGCGTGTTCTCTCCGGGGAGCCAAGTGTTAGGAGAATTAACAGCAACCCCTGATCTTGGCCCTCTATGCTATCTCCCTAATAATAAACTGGTAATTCCCAATGCCCCTATAAGTTACTCCCTTTCAACGCCACAATGACCTACGAGTGCCAAGACGTATTGTCTACCGGGTGTTCGTGATCTGTTCTGCTGTGCTCTTCATTCGGTAGGCCATTAGTTGATTGAACGAGAAAAATGAAGCGCGCAAAAAAATGTCATACCTGTGAGATCGAAAAGATAACCGTTGTTACATCATGACTATCGATACTTATGATGATCTGTCTCTATCATTGTATAGGACGCTTTCTAAACGCAATATTATTTTTTTAACACTCTAATAAATCTTATATATTTATATATATTTTTCTAAATATTTTTACTGTACAATTTATTTTAAAAATGCAATTAGCATTTCTAGCAATTAGCGCTATATCGTAGAAGATTAATATTGTATTCGAAAAATTTTCTAAATTATTATTCCGCTCAATATATATTAAATAATTAAATTATACCAAAACGAAAAATGAAACATAAAAATGTGTCAGTAGATAACCGTAATGCAAAGTAGAAAAATATACATATAACTAATTTATAACCGATACATATTTATAACGAACGGAACATTATGGCACGGACGATTAATAAATGGTGATTTCTCAAGCAAACAAATTTACTAAATCTCAACTTTGGTTTACCGTAAATGGAATATTGATGATCACCGGTTTCGCATGCGTTTCTGTCTTCCGGGCATTTAGCGAAACTTACCCCCGACCGGACGTTAATTCGCACTCTGAATGAATTCATCATGATTTCGGTACAATGCTCACCCGTTACATCGTCACAAGTTCGGTGTATCCTAGAACGTGCACACTTTCATCATAGACACCCACCACGGCCTGTAAAGTACCGTGCTTTCCGTGTCGGGAAGGGGTGGAAAACGCGAACAAGAGAGATGGAGCGGATGTTGGTTACAGGATAGAGAGAACGAGGGATTGTAAACTTCCAGGAGGAAGCTCAACCTCTCGACGGGAACCAGTTAGATTTATGGCCATAAATTCCTATCCAATAAGAAGCGAGATCCATGTATTCTCTAACTCTAGATATATACAAGCACTCAATCTTGTAGCAACAAGAATTCTTCGATAATTAAAAAAAAGCTTGAAAGATATGCAACTGTAGAGAAATCTACGTGCACCTCTCGCGGAAGCACACAGAAAAAGAATATATAATAACACATACAGATATGAAAAAATCCTTTTTGAAATAATAATTTATATGATTGCAAAATATTATCAACTAATTATAAAATTAAATATTGCTGTTAATTTCTTTCAAATATCTTTACTTGTAAGTTACGTGAAATATGTGTGATCGATTTTATACTTAATCGATTTATCGATTTAATAACTTGAATTACTTAACTTATAAAAATAACTTGAAAAAATGCATAATTCTTGAATATCAAAAGCTACGCGCAACGTGTTTCAAGTAATATTTAGCATTACCATAACTGTAGTAACAACATCAGTAAATTATATGCGTGTATGCTTGATAAATCTAATTGCTTCTGTGGGAAGAGGCACTAAAAAGCAATGAGAAGCGTCTTATTGCAGACGAAGGATATGTTCGCCTCTGTTTAGCGTGGATATCTTGTACGTAGATTAGGAACGAAGGGGACGGTAACAGTGACCGATAAATTTCGCGGCGACTGTCTCTTACTTGTGTAATTAAACACACAATTTAAACAGACCGTTAGTGTCACCATGACCGAACCAGAAGGTCTCCTTCCGGCGAAGATCTTTAAGAGCGAGTCTCGCGACGGTGCGGTGTACACCGATTTACGGACAAATTACTGAAGTATCGATCGTTTATTCCCTCAATACATTGATCACTGTTATGGTCACGGACGAGTAGGTATTTTACATTTTATATTTCTTCGTACAAAAGGGATATTTCAAAAAATATAAAAAGTAAATTAAACATAATTAAAAATCTGCTCGTTCGAGAAACAATTTAATTTAGCTTCTATTGTACTTGGGATTAATATACCTTAAATTCTTGCCAGTCCAATTTAAGAAACAACATTATTTCAACGACTATTTTCTATAATCCACATATTATGCGCCTGAACGGGACGTTTTCGTTCTGCATACATATAGACGTGCTATCATTCTAATTACGGTATTGTAATGACCCGCATCGCGTACCAGTCGAACATCTGCGATCCATCGTGACGGATAAATCACCTTGGGACCACCCTCCAATCGCGTCTCGCCCACCGCCTTGCATATAGACAGTTACTAATGAGCCGACCCCATTTAATTAACCGTATATGGTTTCGATGCGACTGTGTGCCGGACTATTTCCCGTTACGTATACGCGTGTATATTATCGCCGCGCGCGCAGCCCCACGGCCGCGACTATAACAAATTTATTCCGAGTCGCGAAGCGATATTTCATCGCGGCCGTTTTCTTGCGTCGACACATCTGTTCGATTTGTATCGTGTATAGTAAGTCGCGACTCTGTGTAGAACGCGAACGTTTTGTTGGTAGTGGTATTCCAGAAACGGAGAGCCTAGCGCAATTCATCGTCGCGGCCGTTATCGGAAAATGAATTGCAAATCACTTCGCATGCACCGGGCAATTTGCAGATCTCACCGGTATATTTACTCCCGTTTTTTACACAAAGAGATAATGAACGAGGTCAAACGGAGTACTTTTAACCTTTCGTTTAACCTTTCCCCGAATGATTGCGAATCTGTAGTTTGTAAATAGTTTATCATGCCCATTAAACTTACTCAATGTTTTGCTATTACAGGGGTACAACAATCTCAAAATTATCATCATTGATTTTAGTCAATACTACTATTACTTGGCATATACATAAGATAATTTACACGTAGGTACACAACTGTGATAAAAAAATGTTAAATTGTACATATAACTAAAAAATAAAGTTATGTAAAAAAAGAATGAGGATTTTATCCTCTACTAAAGACGCACCATCCATTAGCCTCCGTGGCGCAAACGGCTAGCGCGTTCGGCTGTTAACCGAAAGGTTGGTGGTTCGAGCCCACCCGGGGGCGTTATATTTTGCATACAAATCATATGCATGTGCCATTTTTTCATATACAAATAATAATAACTTACAGAAGCGAATTCTTCAGATTTTAGGCTTGATTTCCTCAAAAACAGATTTTTATATTTTTATTTAATGAGAATAAAGAATCTATAGATTGATTTTAATATAAAATTTGTTGTTATAGATTAACAAAATTTGAAAGAACTCTTAACAAAATTATTTTACAAATCGTACTTGAAATCAAAACAATTCATATAAATAATACTTGAAAAATTCAAAAGTTGATATATTATTATATTGTTTCATTTACATATAATCTATATACATATCATTTAATAAAAGCTAATAATTTAATTGAACCTTAATTTGTAATCATTATTTGCATCACAAATGTGCATCACTTTTTGTGATCACATATATAATTCTCTTATATATTTTTTTGATATTATATAATATAAATGGTAGTTTTTCTCGGCACAGAAAAATATTTAACGCGTGCAAATAAAATAGAAACAATAAAATATCTCAAGAATTATGATTTAATTTTGAAATTAAAATACAAGGCAATATAGAAATTTGCCAGATAGACTGATAAATTGTAGATACTCACATTTCTCCAGAGGCGCCGTGGCTTAGTTGGTTAAAGCGCCTGTCTAGTAAACAGGAGATCGAGGGTTCGAATCCCTCCGGGGCCTGGAAGCAAAAGTTTATTATACGCTTCAATTTTTTTCTTTTGTTTTTCCACAAATAGATTTGCTACAATATATATTCGATATTAAAAATCAAAACAAACTTATTTTACTTATATATATTTACAAACATGCATGTTAACACGTTCAAATGTGTTTTGATTGATTTCTCGTTCATGCCAAGTATCTTAATTTTGTAATAAAAAGAAACAATAAAATACGAATTTATAATAATAAAATTATAATATCACATACACATAAAAATATTAATTTGTTTGCTGGTGTATTTCGTATAATCTTACAAATGTAATTGCGGATTATTATAATTGATAATTGATCGACGATATTAGCTACTGGTTGTGATCGACCATTGTGAGGAGCGTATAAAAAAATCTGATTTTTTCATTTCAATAAAAGCAATATCTGCTTCGTTACATTATAGGCTTTTTAAATAAACGCCGATTATTATATAAGTATATATATATATTTTTTTTTACTTTCGAAAATGCACAGCTATAACGTCGACGATAATTTCAGAATAATAATTTGCGAATAGAAGCTTACCCGCATCGTCTCGATCTCGAAATACGACGGAAATCGGATCCATTTTCGAATCGAAACTCTAGTCGCTTGCAAAGTTAACTCGTGCGACCGTCCCGAACCTAAAATCTCGACGGTAAACCGGCCGAGCCGCGATCGATAACCTCCTCCACGCGTGGCGGCCGCGATTCGAGAGCCCGCGACGATACTTCGCGACGTTTGCGAATAATTCACGCGATTTGCTCGCGAAATCGACGCTGTTCGAACGGAAAATCACGCGTTGCATGAAAGCTAGCCGGAATCAGACGCCGCGGTCGCCGCGTCGCGAGCGACGACACTTCGCGACGTTCGCGAATAATTCGCGCGATTCGCTCTCGACGCCGTTCGAATAGAAAATCACTACTTAAAACCCGACCGGAATCGCGACGCCGCGTCGCAAGCGACGATACTTCGCAACGTTCGCGAATAATTCGCACGATTCGCTCGCGAAATCGCGTCTCGACGCCGTTCAAATAGAAAACACGCGTTGATCAACCTCTGGCCCGCTGGCCGGAATCGCGGCGCCGCGCCGCGATCGACGGTCGTTTCGAAAAACAAGTACGGCCTGAAGTTCGCCGTACCTGCAAGAGTTCGGGAGCGCCGCGCCGCGCCGGCAGCCGTGTGGCGGCGTGGCATCAACGTTTCGTTGTGTGCCGAAGCGCGCGCGTTTACCATAACCTCGCTTGGTCGGTCGTCGCTCGTGGCTTGGCAGGATGTCGTCGTGCACGGACTTGTTGCGCCTGAACGAGAAGGGGTTGTTCAAGGATGTCAAGGTGAGCCTGTCGAGAAGCGCCAAGGAGACGCGAAACATCCTCGAGATACGCGACAACGTGCTGTACGTGTGGAACGCCGACAAGTGCTGCGTGCTCACGCTCAACGTCGCGGCGACCCGCGGCAAGCTCGACGAGGACATTCCTTATCAGGTAAGAGAAAGCCGATATTGTCGCGCATATTGCACGCTCGCGCGAATTGTTTCGTCGGTGGATCTCGTACTCGATCTCAAGCGCGAAAAGCGGAGTCGTCGAATTGCGCGTTGCATCGTGCGACCTAACCTAACCTCAACAATGCGCCGACCACGTCGGCTGCTAACGCGTGCGCCCGGCGCCGCTTTACTGCGTGTCGCGTCAGGGTGGCACAGCTGCCTCCGGACGCGGGACGCCTTTATTCGCGCCGAAACATTCGCCGATATATTTGACAAATTAGATAGAAGCCTTCAAGCTTGAAAATTGCATTGTCGTTGTCATTGTTAATTGTATTATATGATGCATCATATCAGTGTTGTTTGCACTTATAACATTTATTTGCTTTCTATTTGATGATTGAATATGAACGATCAAATGCAATATGAGATAATTAAGACGATTTATTGATCGCTACAAAATACCTGTTCTATAAAGATTATTGTTTCTTTATTAATTGTTGCGATTTTGTAAAATGACTACAGTTTGTAAGTAGTTGTGTTGATTGTTGTTTGTAAGTAAAATAGCAAAATGTAAAAAATTGTGTATTAATTATTTATAATTATGTATTTATAATTTTATTTAATTTATATAAGTTATATAAATTATAATAGTAAAATATAAATTATATAAAAATTATGAAAATTTTTATATTTTACTGTTCCACTTACATACTATAGTCATTTCGCAAATTTGCTACAATTATAGCAAATGTATATTTTATATATAGGTACACATTTTACGAAATTCATATAATTTACAAAAAACTGATATCTATCTATTTACCTATTTGATACAAAACATTATAAGTATTTTCTGTCGCTCAGGCTTTTAATACATTAAAATCATGCTGAAATAGTTAAGAAAAATCAGTATCTTGAATAGTATTTTTTTAATTTTTAAACATCCAAAAAAGAAGTATCTTGATTTTAAATGCATTCTATTTATTCTTACTATTATTTTTTTTTATGCCGCGACAGCTTGATTACATATTCATATATTATTCATATATTCATAAATGTATGTACATAATGTATGTATTTATAGATCTATAATTGAAAAGAAAATATACAAAATAATTCAAAAAGGCACAACGAAAATTGCTTTCCTGAAGCATTTGGCAACTTAAGGGTGCCGGCGCACTTGCGGGAAATGAAAGAGAAGCGACGGAATCGTGAGAATTGGTCAAGCGGTACATTTTGCTCACTCTGGCCGCTGGTGCTTTTATTTCATTTCAATGGCACCGCGGGATCAGCGGGTACGTTAATGCCTCGGCGCGCGTACGCAAAAGAGCGGCGAGGGGATAATTTATAGGAAATGGGTTGTTCGACGCTCCGGAGTAATTTAATTAAAATAAATGTCCGCGCCGCGGAGGAGCGTTACCCGCACGGACGGACCCGGCCGCGGTTCCACGACTGCGAATAAAATGCAAATTCAGACCCTTCATCGGGGAGAGGGTCGCGTATGTATATGCGTATAGGTATAGGTATAGATAAAGGTACCCGCGAGAGGGTGGCGAGAGACTGTAAGGACGGAGGGTCCGACGGTCTCTCGGTGCCGATCGTCGCCCGTTCATCCGTTGATTTGATAAGACCCGGTGTTCGGTTAATTTCACTCAGCTGTCGTTTTATTAATAACGCGACGTAACATTTCGTTTTACTTCGCAGTGGTATGCCGCGATTAAATATCGACCGACGTCACATAAAGTTCTTATCTCCCGTTCTTACCGTCACGTTTATCGCGATGCACCTGCGAATTCAACGACGCGAGGAGGGGTGGCGAGATAGTGTCTATACGTACATAAAGCTGCGATTACTTGAGATTTCAACGTGTTGATGCGCGGAATGTACGACAGATCGGACAGAGCTTTCTAATCTTTTCTTACGCAAACTCCCAGGGAGGCATCGATTACAGTTAATAAACGCGACGTCGCGTCGCGGTAGCGGGCACTTTGCGCTCGCTCGCGCTACCGGGTGTACGCGCTCGGGCCTGGCTGAAATATCGGTCGTAAATAATAAAAGTTAGCGAGGTTCCTCTCTGGCGCGCACGCCGGGACTTTAAACCGGAAGATAGGTGTCGCAGGATACGGACGAGGGAGGCGGCCGCGGCAAAAGTGGCGGCGGGCCGGGGGACGGCGGCGCGGCGCGGGACGGAGACAAAGACGCACCATTGTCAACCGCTCCGCCATCGGAACCGCCATCCGCCGCGGGAAACTTTGAATCATTTTTATTGCATAGAGTTATCTTTGTTACCAGCGGAACGAACGTCTAAACGCGCTTTCTCTCTCTCACCCTCACTTTCTCTCCCTCCCGCTCTCGGGCTATCTCTCTCTCCTCCTCTCTCGCGCCTTTCGCCAGGTCATTCCCAGCCCTCGGTCCTTCGTCCTCGCCTTCCTGCCGGCTACGCTCTCTTTCCCTTTTTGCCCCCCCCCCTCTCCCCGCCCCCTCGTCACCCCGTCTCCGACGGCCGGGCCGGGAGATAATACGAACGCGAAAGCGTTCACACCCCTTTGGCTGCCCAAATGGAATAAGTTCTTTAATTCGCGGATTTACCGCCGGGCAAACGAATCGCCCGCGCTGTCGCCGAGATAATATTCGGCGGACGAAAGAGGGCCGCTTCTTGGCCGAACTTTTCATTTGCGCGGCGTGTCCTTCTCGTGGATCTCGGATACTCACTGAAAGTAAACGAGTTTTGTGAAGCGTTAAAGCTCAGAATTCATCTGAAATATTTAAAATGATTTAATACGCCGAACGAAGATCAATATCTATCAACAAGTAAATATTGAGGTGTATAGAAAGAGCTCTTATGTCTTGAAGTATTAAATTTTCAACATGTTATATTATATTTGTCAATATTTCGAACAATTTTTATATTGGTATCCGCTCAGAGATAATTATAAATAATTCTAATTATATGGAAAATATCTGATTGAAATTAAAATTTAACTTTTACGAATTGGAATATCGCACAACGCGGCTTAGCTCGCGCGTTATCATCCGTAATCCTTTATGCTATCTCTTTCATACTATCTGCTCTGATTATATAAACACGAAACGCAAACGGTCGCAATCGCGCGCCAAGGTAAGAATTACTTTGATTCGCGAGCGCGTAGCGCGCTGCCAACGGCCTACGTGAGGCTTTCTATATGCCTCGCGACGTATAAAAGGGACAATCTTATCTAAATTAAAAGTACACCGGACCCCGCGCGAGACGGTCGAGGGTCAGCGGCGCGAGCAAAATAGAAAATTTCGGGGCGAATTCCTACCTCAGCCACCGCACCGTCGCCTCCGCCGCCGCCTCCGTCTCAGAAGCGGAGCGGAGCGGAATATCGCGTAATAAGCGAAATCCTCTCGACGATAATTAAAAAGTAATTTTACGGTGACATTTGTAACTGTGGACCCGCCTACCCGCCGTCGGTGGTAAATACACGTGCAGCCGCGCGTCCTGTGTGTACACAAGCAATAAGTACGATGTACGGTACCTGTGCGTGTCTGTGCGTTCGGCTGTGTATGCGCGCGCGTACGTCTGAATGTTCCCGCGGTCAGATTCACGCCCGAGCGTATAAGCAAACGCGGAGGGGGATAGCGATGGTGGTCCCGGCGGTTCCTGGCCGAGTGTAGGTAGGTTAGGTACCGTGTCGTGCACGTGGAGGTATACGAGGAGGTACCTAGAGCAATAAAATTCACGGGAAGTGTTTTACATCGGGTGGCGCGCGTTGTGCGCTCCCTTTCCTTCTCGCTCTCGCTCTCGCTTTCCCTTCCTCCCTCCGCGTACGCTGGATATGGCGGGGTGGAAGCGAGGGAGGCTCGACGAATTCAGTAAGTGGCGGACAATGGCTTTTGTGGTAGACATCGGCCGTCTCTCCCCCGCGCGCATCCCCTTCTCGGCATTCGTATTTCGTTCCACCGCTGGTACGGATACATTTTCCCTTCCACGTTCTCTTCTCGTCTTTCTCTCTCTTTCCCACGGCTGCTCGAGCACTTGAAGCGTCATACTTTCAGGGATGCGGAAAAAGTGGTAACCCTACGCGAACTGGCAATTTCTTTCTCTCTCTTTCTTTCTCGATTCATTTATTTATTAATAGGGATATATAGGCATCCCCTTGAAAGCATCACGTCGGAGAGATAATCGCTCGAGGTTGCCACGAAATGTCGGTTGGTACGTTCGCTTATGTCCCGATCGAAAAAAAAATATATATATAGCAATAAGTATTGCACAATACAGAAAATACGTGAAAAATGTTCAGTAATAAAAATTTGCAGCATTGTATCAATTTTCTTTACAATCATTTATCGTAGCTAAAATTTATCCTATTTGTTTTTAATTTTATGTAATTTCCATTTTAACGGAATTTTAATTTACGATTCATAAAAAAGTGTTTAATATAAAAGACCAGAATTTTTTTAAAGACAAAAAGTTAATTATACATTTGTCAAAAGATTTGTCGAAAGAAAATGTAGCGTTAATAACTCTGTGATGTGCGATTTGACTTAATTACGCGATAGAGACTGGATACATAAGTCGTAAAAATAGTTTGGCATTAGGAGCGGAGTTTAATGAATCGTCAAGGAGATGATTAAACTGGCGTTGCCGATGTTATTGGGCGTCCAGGGCGGAAGCGAGCCGCCATAGAACGCCCAATACACGCGCAAGATGTAAGAGTGCGAATGTGTGGCTCGTGTACTCGCGAGTGCCAGCACCTTTATCTCTCGCAGCCGCGAAGTCGTATACAAGAACGACGGTGGTCCATTGTCAAAGCTGCCCGTTAAAATACGGAATACGCCCTTAGTCTTGGAAGGAGCCGGGCGCGCACCCGCCGGCCTCCATTATCGCCGCGTGTATAGCCTATGAGCGGTGAAAGGGCTGCGAGGCTCCCGCAATGACAATAATTCCGCGCTAATAACCCCTCGCAGAGACTTCTCGGAGCAGCCCTTGTGATAGCGATAGCGCCTCCTTGCTCCCCC